TGACGAATACTCAATTACTAGATTAATTAGATTAACTAGATCAACACAATTAACTTATTTGTCTTTAGAGTTAGGCTGTATGACCAAGCACGAGGTTTGACTATGGGCTCGTGCTTAGCTCCAAGTTTAGTTAATAATGAAATGGTTTGATTGCAGGTACACCTAATTCTAAATGCATTCTTGGTTCCTATTTTATTAGTAAGATTATGGGACGACTACTTTGTTGTTTGGCGCCAAGGCAAAGGCAGATTGGTGGAATTCTTGACATTAATGAATAGATTAAATTGAATATAAGCTATTATAGAATTGGATAAAGAAGATAATTTTAAATACCTATTCACTAGGATTTATTGAGAATTACTTTCATTATTATTAAATAATATGCAAAAAAATACACAATTCTACGGGTTACTTGATGTTGCCATTCTGTCAACTTTCGAATAACTAGATAAATTACTGTAGAAACAGTTTGAAAGAACACTATCTCCAGCTATGTCTTCTTTTTGAGAATTTTCTAACCCTGTTTCTACATCAGGATGCTACAATGCTTTATGCTTACGGAGTATTGTCCATGTTCAGGAGACCTTCGGATGAGATTACCTGAATATAAAGCCACTTGCAAAGATATATTGGTAAAAAACTATAATCCCGCTGAACTCATTGCTAATAATGAATACTCAGTAGACATGTTCAAAACACAAATATTTGCTGATTATAAGGATTTCACGTTCAAGCGTATAGTTAGCGAGTCTATAAAAATGACCAAACTGCGAACATTCTGTATGAACCGCTAAGTAAGAGGAGGCTTCAATAACTTTGAACCTGATTACGACTCCAACACTTCGCATCACTCCAAAATTACATACACAATAGCAATACAGAAAACATTGAAAATTGCAGGATCATACAATTGAGTATTTAGGCAAGTAAGCTGATGTCTCTACATTAATCTCCTTTTGATGCGTCAACATCCCCCAACTACAAAATGCACTCCAGGCAGGAGATAGCCAACTAATTCATAATATGTCTTACTGGGATCACAAAGTTATGTACATAAACTAAGTGCGATTGTTGCGAATGACTTTTTATTTCGAAGGATAAGTTGGTTGGAAGGAATTCGTAAAATGGTCTCACCGGAAAGCAAAGTAGTATTTTCGCAGAATAAGAGACGATTGGATTGTGTGAAGAAGTCCTCAGCACATCGTCCTGTGACGCCAATGAACCTGTGGTAGGTTTTTGTCTGCACCACAGCAAGAGACATTGTCAGGGTAAGAATCCATGCATGAGGAAATAGTGTACCAAAAGCAAAAAAGAGTAAAACTGTGGCCGGCCGCATTCCTAGTCACTTTTTCCATACTTTTCTCTAAAAGGTATAAAGACCAAGATTGTGTGGCTTTTTTGTGGTCGCAGAGGAACGCACCTAGTCCGGAGTCCATTGTATGCTTGATCCTTTGCAGAGTAGGGCAGTGGACGTGATACATTCCCAGAAGAGGAGATACCACAATTGTTTAGCACAAGTCTGGTCAAAGGATTGGCTTCACTTGTCTCTTTGACGAGTTGTTTTGTGTGGTCTAAAGATGGCGATACTCACTGACAATGCCGACTACGATGCCGGCGAAACGTCTGGGAATGTACCACGTCCACGGTCCTACTCTGGAAACGATGAAATACAATGGACTCCGGACTAGGTGCGTTTCTTTAAGTCTTCCTACCAACATGACCGAGTTGTGAAAACAAGGTCAAACAACTTTTATGCCAATAAATCAGTTGTATTAGATTTATTCACTCTTTTTCGTTTAAGAGGATGCAGAAGTTGATAAAACCTAGGTGTGTTCGAAACTGCAGTCCAACGTGGGTGAGAACAACTTTTTGGTAAACACGCCTGTGTGAAATTCAGTGGAACCGTCAATTCTACTCATATGATTGTGCGAAATTCCTACCGACTTCATGATAAATAGGCTTCGAAGCATCTGGTAGATCTTGAATAAGAGCTGTATTCACTCTCGGCCGTGTAAGATGATAAGGTACGAATAGTTGACTTTTCCCATAATCATATGAATAGGCTTCAGGAAGACTGTCACTTTCACACATCCTTCCTCATTTGTCTGATTTGCATGGTCACAGTCATCTCCCGCTTGCATCGGAATTTCTGCTGCAGCCTCATTCACCTGAGCACCGGTCTTCACATAAATGTTTATCTTCCCAGCGAGAGCAGTCCTACTGTTTACACGCTGACATCGCCATTGTGCCTCAGGCCGTAGGTCCCCACTCAGACGCATCTTCAACCCCCTTGTACCATCTTCAGTTTAGCCATAATCCTAGGGCAGCACAGCGTCGCCAGGTTCCTCATGTGGTTTTCTATCCCTTGCCCTTATATGAATAAAAACAACAACAACTTGGGCATAATTTCACCCGTGACAACGCACAAATCCTAATCTGCCGATATTAGCCTCTTCACCCTTTTAAAGTGTCCTATTGTTTATATTAGGTGGTGTAACTGAATGCGATGTCACTACACTTCCACCAGTAACTGGCCTTGATAAGTGCATTCCAGTCGAAATACATGCAGCTCAGGGAGAGATGCACAGATTGGACAAAAAATCTCAAGTAATCAGCCAACACAACACTTGGGCAGGGATGTTTCACCAAATGATTGGCACTTTCAAGTCGAAACCACCAAACAAGTGAACAGAGCAAGGGAGGCTTTGTGAACCAACGAAACTGAACATCGTCTCAAGTATCGGCTAATCTCAATAGCATGACAAGGCTGGGAGGAGATGTAGATTTCCCAATCATTCTCCGGGTATTTCAGAGGCGTTAAAAGGTCTTTCAACGCAATGGTTACATTAAAAACGTCTCTTAAAGATTGCGTATCCAATTTGAAGTGGAACATGTCTGAAGGGGATCTGGCTAGGCAATGTTTGTCAACCAACTTGGTGTCGACTCTCCGAGTGACCCTGGGTAGAATCCCAGAAAAATTGAGTTGCAAAAAGCGCATTCTTACGTTACTTATTTTCGGTAAGTTAGTCGAGTTTCTCACGCTACTATTATCCGAGATGGGCTTGAGCTGGTGATGCTCGTGAATCAATCCCTCCCTGAACTTAGTTGTCTTGGAGGAAGCTTTCACGTTGGTCGAGGCTAAATGCCCAAAGCGAAGATTTACACAAAACTGATTTAAAAGTGAGCCAGTTGTGGAGGCGAATGGACGTATCCGACAATGTAGTAATACTTTGTTGTGAGTCATAGCGACAAGTCGAAAGCCTAAATTTGGAGGACTCAATTCTGTTTTCGACCTAGCAATCAGTGCCAAGAATGGCAAGACTCACTCACAATGCCAATTACGATGCCATCTAAACGTCTAGAAAGGAACCAAGTCCACGGCCCGCTGCTGGGAATTATCCTACCGACCGTTTAAATAAGTCACCATGACAACATGAACAAATTACGGAAACGGGTTAATACTAATTCTATACGGTAAATTGAGAGTTTGATTAAAACAGAGGCCCCAACACCTTTGTCTTCGTATTCACTGGAGTTCAATGTTTACTCGCAACTATCGTGACGCTAAGCATTGTTAGATCTTTTCAGTCTGAGATGCTTCCCTCAAAAGTGATGAGCATCTCCGGTTACTTCAGCAACTATATTCAAAAAGGAAAATATTACAAAGTTTTCTCGCCCTTTACATAAAGTCTTTATAAAGAATTGCCTTAAAGTTGCCAGTAATTGGCCGAATTAAGCTAGTCAGATTTCTTAATTTGTGAGACGCCTGACAGAAATGACGAAGAATATTTATGTGGAATCCTTTGTGGGGCTTCGACATTAACCACATTTAATCGTCTTCGTACCGGTTGCAAGTTGGACTACAAGTCAAGATTGTAACTGCTGATTGCAAGGATGCTGAGGCTAAGGACATCTCACTACAACTGCTACTGGTGAAGTATTTGCAAAGGTAGGCCCTTTAGGTGACCTTAAGACTTTACAGTAAGGTGCCAAAACTGTTTTCTCCTAGTGACGAATAATTCTGAGATTGTAAAAATCAGATAATATGTAAGATGGCATTTACAAACAAGCCTGACGACAACGATACCATCAACTTGCACTTTAACAAGAAATAAAAGGGTGAAAATCACATTTAGTTAATATACCAAATTTGCGCATCCTCACAAATCTTTCTAGTTCAAAATACTCGTATATATTGAGGTATACCACTTTTGGCAATGCATTCGATGAGCTAGCATAAAATATCGCGTGGAATCGTATGGTGACAGATGAGCATCTTCACTTAAAATGAATAATCAAAATTCTAAAAAATATGTCGTGTATGGAAGAATGGGAGAATATAAACGGATGTAGGCCGCCTTAGTACTGGCCATCGAAAGTAACGTAACGAAATAATCACAAGATCAGATTTTCAATTGTTGAGGTTACTTCCATTTCGAGTGGAAGTGTTGGGTGAAGAGATTCGAAGGTCGGTTCCACCAGA